ATTATTGTATTGTTGTCGATGTGTTTCTTTGATTTTGTTATTAATTGGCTTATATAATTGGCTGCTCCCATGTTAGGGGCATAGATATTTACAATTGTTAGATCTTCTTGTTGGATAGACCCTTTAAGTAAGATATAGTGTCCTTCCTCATCTCTTATTACAGTCTTTGGTTTAAAATCAATTTGTCTGATAAAAGGATTGCCACCCCAGCTCTCTTTAGATGTCCATTAGCATGGTAAATGGTTTTCCTCCCCCTCACTTTCAATCTGGAGGTGTCTTGGGTCAAAATGAGTCTTTTGCAGGCAGCATATCGGTCTTGTTTTTTAATCTAATCTGATAGCCTGTGTCTTTTGATTGGGGCATTTAGCCCATTTACCCTCAGGGTAACTATTGAAAGATACGAATTTAGTGCCATTGTATTGCTTGTAAGGTGACTGTTACTGTATATTGTCTCTATTCCTTTCTGGTCTATGTTACTTTTAGGCTCTTTCTTTGCTTAGAGGACCCCTTTTAATATTTCTTGTAGGGCTGGTTTGGTGTTTGCAAATTCTTTTAGTTTTTGTTTGTCCTGGAAGCTTTTTATCTCTCCTTCTATTTTCAATGACAGCCTAGCTGGATATGATGTTCTTGGCTGCATATTTTTCTCGTTTAGTGCTCTGAAATATCATGCCAGTCCTTTCTGGCCTGCCAGGTCTCTGTGGATAGGTCTGTTGCCAATCTTATGTTTCTACCATTGTAGGTTGCAAACCTCTTGTCCTGAGTTGCTTTCAGGATTTTCTCTTTGTCTCTGAGACTTGTAAGTTTTACTATTTGATGGTGGGGTGTTGACCTATTTTTATTATTTTGAGGGGGGTTCTCTGTGCCTCTTGGATTTTGATGCCTGTTTCCTTCCCCAGATTAGGGAAGTTCTCGCTATAATTTGCTCCAATATACCTTCTGCTCTTCTCTCTGTTTCTTCTTCTTCCTGTTTCCCAATTATTCTAATATTGTTTCGTCTTGCGCTATCACTTATCTCTAGAATTCTGCCTTCATGATCCATTAGTTGTTTATCTCTCTGTTTCTCAGCTTCTTTATTTTCCATCATTTGGTCTTCTATATCACTAATTCTCTCTTTTGCCTCATTTATCCTAGCAGTTAGAGCCTCCATTTTTTATTGCACCTCACTAATAACTTTTTGATTTCAACTTGGTTAGATTTTAGTTCTTTTTTTTCCCTCCAGATTGATAAGATGTTGATTGAAAAAAGGAAAAAGAAAAATTCAAAAAAAAAAAATAGAAAAAGAAAAAAAGAAAATTAAAAAAAAATTAACTTTGAAAGACTAAAGAATCATGGGAAAAAAGCCATGAATTCTAGGTGCTGTATTCCCCTAGTGCTGGCGTTCTGTCGTTCTCATTGATCAGTAAACTTGGTCTTGGCCAGCTGTTCTTGTGGATCTTCTGGGGGAGGGGCCTGTTGTAGTGATTCTCAAATGTCTTTGCTGGAGCAGAATTGCCCCACCCTTGTCAGGGGCTGGGCTAAGTAATCTGCTTGGGTTTGCTCTCGGGAGCTTTTGTTCCCTACAAGCTTTCGGTACAGCTTTGGAGGATGAGATTGAAAATGGCAGCCTCCCAATCTCTGCCCCAGAGGAGCCGAGAACTCGGCCCCGCTCCTCAGTGCATCCCCAGAGAAAAGCAGTCAGTCACTCCTGTCTCCCTGGTCTCTGGCAGCACTCCATGCTCACCTGGCCTGTGACCGAGCATTTCAATCTCTGGCACACAACCCCGTGTGGAGTCTTCAAACCCAGCAGATCCCTGCGGTGCACTCCCATGCCGCTCCTCCTGGGGGAGGAAGGGGAGTCTCCCTGGATCTGCCACTTGTTGGCTCCCTGCTGGAGGAGCAGTGGCCCGACTGTGCCGCGGATCATGGTTTGTGGCAACCCCGAGCTGAGAGCCCATGCCTCGGCTCCATCTCTGCAGCCAGCTGCCCTGCTCCGATACCTGGGAGCTCTGGCTCACTCAGGCACCCCTGGTCTTTCTGTTACCCCAAGCGTCCTGAGACCACACTGTCCCAGCGAGGGTTCCACAACCCCTACTCCCCCCGCCACACTTAGCCCCTGGAGCGACGTCCCTCAGTGACGCAGACTTCTAAAATTTCAAATTTTTTGCTCCACTGCTCTATCACTTGACAGTGGCCAGCTCCCTCCCTCTGCAGTCTATCTTCCCAAATATCGCCTCGGATTCACTTCTCCGCACGTCCTACCTTCCAGAAAGTGGTCGCTTTTCTGTTCAGAGTTGCTGCTATTCTTTCCTTCAATCTCCTGTTGAGTTTGTAGGTGTTCAGAATGGTTTCATACCTGTCTAGCTGAATTACTGGAACCAAATGAAATTTACTCCTCCACCACCTTGCTCCTCCTCTCAAGACTTGAGAAATGGTTTCTTAATACAAATAAAACCCCCAAAGAGAGAGCCCCTCAAAACAGTCAGAATGGCTAAATTTAACATGTCAGGAAACAACAAATTTTGGTGAGGATGCAGAGAAAGTGGAACCCTCCTACACTGTTGATGCGAATGCAAGCTGGTGCATCCACTTTGGAAAACAGTATGGATGTTCCTCAAGACATTATAAATAGTGCTACCCTACAACTCAGCAATTGCACTACTAGGGTATTTATCCCAAAGATACAAATGTAGCGATCCAAAGGGGCACATGCACTTCGATGTTTATAGCAACAATATCCACAATAGCCAAACTATGGAAAGAGCCAAGATGTTCATCAACAGATTAATGGATAAAGAAGATGTGACATATATATGAAATGGAATATTACTTAGCCATCACAAAGGATGAATACTTACCATTTACATCGAAATGGATAAAACTGGAGGGTATTACTATAAGCAAAAGAAGTCAATCAGAGGAAGACAAGTATCATATGGTATCACTCATATGTGGAATATAAGAAACAGTGCAGAGGATCATCGGGGAAGGGAGGGAAAAGGGAATGGAAAGAAATCAGAGAGGGAAACAAACCATGAGAGACTGTTAATTATAGGAAACAAACTGAAGGTTGCTGGAGTGGAGGTGTGTGGGGGGATGGGGTCACGGGGTGATGCGCATTAATGAGGGCACCAGAGGTGATGAGCAGTGGGTGTTATGTGTAACTGATGAATTGCTGAACTGTACATATGAAACTAATGATGTACGGTATGTTGCCTAATTGAATTTAAATAAAAAACTTCTTTATTCACTTCTGCCACATGTAGTAATTTAAACACATTGACAACATTGTGAGCTTCTCTCAAATTCAGTTAAACTGAAAGTTTCTAATTGAATAACAGGATTCATATGCTGAAAATAACTTTCTGATTGGATAATATTTAAAAATCGTAACAGATGATTTCCCTGGAGATTAATTCCTTTATCTCCCTGCCCCGTTCAGCACACAGGATGGTCTGAGCTGTTTGCTTCAGGAGAGACACAGCAGCAGGTCTCAAGGATAATATTGTTCTGTGTCTGGTTTTGAGGCAACAGAACAAACAGAAGCCACACCTTAGAGAAAATCCTTGGGAGACCCCGAAATGAGTCAGAACAAGGCTTTCCTGCTCACCTAATGAAGCATAGAGTGAACGGTTGGACACACTTTTTGTAGGCCTTTCGTGCAGGTGGCCAGACCCCAGAGGAGGAATGATACCATAGAACATGTAGGTGTAAGAGAGTGAGGGGGCAGAGGAGCCTCCCTGGGGTCCCTGTGCTCCAAGGAGGTTTCAGGGCAGCAGAAGGATTCTTAAGTGAGAAGAAATGACCGTGTCACATGTACAGGCAAATGGGGATGTAGAAACTGTCACTTCCAAGCCAGGATGCGTGGCAAAAGTAAAGTTATCTTGAGATGGGCACCTATATCATTGTCATAACAAAGAGACAGGGGGACTGAAGTTCCAATGACCAGATAAGGTCACAGCCATGGCTGCCTGGTCTAGAGGCAAATAAGCACAGTTTGCTGGCTCCATCCAATAAGTATGTCCTGGAGAGACTGTGGAGGAATTATCAGTTATGGGGGCTGACATCGGGAAGAATAAGAAGACAGAACTTGAGAAACTTTGTCCATAGGGAGTCTGCCCTCAACTCTATGTGTGTTTGGGGGCAGGGTCCAGCCTGGGTCAGGGGGCAGCTTAGGGTCAGGTAATAAAGTAACTAGAAGTCAGTGATTAAAGTGCTGCTTTGCCCATCCCTCAGGTTGCCTGTGTATTCACCACAGAATGGACATTGTACCCCCGAGTGATGGCAGCCACTGGGACCTTGTCAGGGCAGCACAGAGGTTGGTAGGAAGAAGCTGATGCACGTTTGTAGGCACTCACCTGTCTACCCTTGTCCTGTCTTTCCCTATAATCTAAGGTTATTGTCCATGAAGAAAGGAGAACTTAGACTCATTATAATGGTTGCAAAAGTTGGGCAGGAAAAATAAAGGGACCCATGAAAGGGAGCAGTGGGAAGATGTGATGTACTGTGGTCGGGCATTGAGGAGGACTTGTCAGAGGGAATGAGTCAACTTGGAGTCTGAAGGGGGTGTCTCTGGGCCAGTGAAAAGATAGGAGCAATGTATTCCAAATCACAGAATTAGCATATGTTTACACAGCTGATGTGGGAGCAAGCACAGAATGCTGGACGTGAATCCAGAAGAATGGTCAGTAAGTGAAGGAGAAATGGATGAATGGAGAACATAGGGGATAAATATCCTCTTATGTTCATCTCTAATTGTCTGGCCACTTCCCACCCCTACTCCTGGACCAAGCTGGTAACCCTCTTGAGATCAGGAATTATGTCAAAATGCATACCTTGCAAATAGCAAAGACCTTCTAATACAACAAAATCTCAGTATCTGCATTTGATAAAATAATGGGTGGTTTTTGGTAATTAGAGTATTTACACATCATAGCAAATTACTAAGAAGCTCTTTCAAGGTCATGACAAGTCCAATAGCATGTTGTGGAGAGGTACAATTAATGGGAAGAGGAAGATGGTACCTTGGTTGAAGAACTGCTGGCTGGGGTTGGTGGAGGCATCTGAGGAGTCTGAGGGTAGCTCCGAGTTGACTGTGTACTGGTTACAGATGGTCCTGGAAGGTGACTTTGTGCCTGGGTTGGCTGAGTCCTCTTGGATCCATCATTTTGTTTGGTTTTGATTTTCTTTTTCTGAAAGTAATTTTTGCCCCTGGTTAATGGTTTTCAATATTAGATGAAACACATCATTACTAGTGAGCAAATCAACTTTTTACTACTAGTTTCTAATTGTGCTAAAATTTCTGTGCTCACAAATTCCAGGAGGTACATGGATTCCATCCTCTCAGGAGGTGACTGGAAAGCAGGCAACCCACACGCATGACTGATGCACACAAGAGCCTGGAAATTCCCCTCATCAATGTGTCAAGAATGCTGTGCTGGAATTTATAAAATCTACATTTGAATTTTGTGTCTTTAAACAGCCTTTGGCAAGCTGCTCTCCTAGTGTGACTTCCAATTTTGTGCACATCTCAAGAGGGGTCATGATTCCACATCTCGTTTACGTGGAGTTATACACACATGTTATGTGCATACAGTTCTGAAACATCATGGGTGATTAATAACTAAGAGTTTGCTGACACTGAACCTCATTTTCATACTGCCTCTGGAATCCCTTTTCTCCATTCTTCTATTTGCAGGTTGAGAAATGAATAAAGCACTCAGTGTACATAAGAAGGTAATAAGTGGTAGAGCATAGAAGAAGTTTCTTCAGTGGGACCTCTGCCAACCTACCTTGGACATGGGTATGTCATGGACCGATACCAAAGCTTCGTTCATGGTAGATGTGGATTCGTCAGTACTGGATGCATCCTGCTTTCTTTTCTTCATGGGCATTTTTCCTTTTACTCTGCATTGCCTCATAACTGAAGCAGTTAAAAAGAACATGATAAATCCAAAGGAGCTGGTCTAGGGCAGCTGTAGCATTTCCAGTGCTATGTCCTCTCAGCTCCTGCTTGTGGGTCTGGGAATGCTAGTGTGCTCCCCTCCTGCATCAGCCCACCAGACAGGCGACAGGAGCTGACTCACACTGCCAGTTTCCTTGCTTCCCTGGGGATGTAAGCACACCCCTCCATCTGCTAGACTCCCAGGTACCTCAGTCAGACCCTTTTCCAACCCACTTATCCTATATGTTCTTTTCAAGAATCTGCAGTTTGGGGGCACCTCAGTGGCTCAGTCTGTTATGTGTCTGCCTTTGGCTCAGGTCATGATCTCAGGGTCTTGGGATTGAGCCCAACATGGGGCTCCCTGCTCAGTGGGGAGCCTGCTTCTCCCTCTGTCCCTCCCCCTGCTTTTCTCCCTCTCTCTCTCTATCAAATAAATAAATAAAATCTTAAAAAAGAAAAAGGATCTGCAGTTTTCATGATGCAATTGGTGGGTTAACTCCTACAGAAGGTCTGTTTGAATTACAGAAACCAGAGAAAGAAAATCTGATCTAATTGGTGATGGGACAAATTGGTGATACTGGACTTGATGTTTTAAAAAGTTTTTAGGATCCAGTGATTTTAGAAGAGGCAAATTCTTCACATCCCTGAGAGTTGGCTTTTTCTTTAAGCATTGCCTTATATTTGTTGATAAAGAATATAGTAACGATGGAGTAAATATTGTAACAGAGCAGTATATGAACTGAATGAAGTATTTTTAAATCTCACAATTTTTCCTAATTTTTTTGTCCCTGATCAACCTTCATAATATGTAGAAGTCTCTGCCTTTCTAGTGAACTCTTTCTGCTTTTTTCTTTACTGGCACCCCCAAAATACACCCTGTAAAATACAGTGGACCTCTTTGTAGGAAAGGAATTGTCTAAGTTGTCAACTTGTTGGTGTCTGAAGGGCCATCTCATTCTCAGCTACCCAGTTGGAAATTGGGAAACGGATCTCTCAGGTGTGCCAACACCAGGGCTCTGGGGGATGTCTCTAGGGGGCCCAGACCCTGACAGTGAGGGCTCCTGTCCATTACCTTTTTTCTTCTCATTTTTAAGAATTTTAACAATGTCTCCAAGTCCTTCCATGTCCTTGAACAGATCTATTAGCTTGTCCACACAGAGAGGCCCCCGGAACTTCTTTTCCATTAGGTCAGCAATCTTGACCTTGTTATATTCTTCTTGCATTTTTGCAGTCAGTTCCAAATCATGGGCCAGTAGGCACTTAACCATGCTAAACTGGTAGTCATCTATGGACTGTAATCCTTTCAGCAGAATAATTCTCTTGTACTCACTCATCTCTCCAGGTGTGGCTGAGCCTGCAAGAGAAAAATACCATACCGTGTTATACCTTTCTCCAGGTGATTTAAAAGTCTGGTTGTGTCTACGTGAGTGAGTGGCCCATGTCAAGGTGTCGTCCTTGAGTGTATGTGACAAAGAGGAACTTAATTTCCAGGTGTGTCACTGTGGGTTGAGAACTGCTGTATTCGGGACTTCTAAGAAATTCTTTCCTTTTAATAATGATAGTTGAGTTGGGTTGGGGGTGGGTGTGGTGGCAGGAGGTCTGGAAAGAGGCCTTGCTGTTGCCCCGTGTGGAGTGTGGGCTGTAGGGGGTCAGAGTGCCCGCTCCCTCCTCCCACCCCGTGTTGGGGCTGCGGTCTCTCCCTGGATATCTGCCTGCTGGCTCTGGACTCTGCCACCCACTCTGCCTGAAGGAGCCCATGTGCAGAGTGGACTGCAGCCTCTCACCCCTGGTGATTGTCCTCCCCTCTGGGTGCCTGCCCAGCACACCTGACCCTTCCCTAGTCAGCCCCTCTCGCATCCTCTCTCCCTGGGGCTCGGGCCATGTTCTCCGTGTCCTCTGTGCCCTGCTCCTGTGGCTCTCTTGTGCAGAATCACAGCCATGATTGGCTGGCACTATTTAGTAGTCCTGTGGCTGAAGTTCTGCTTTTTTGCTAAAGCAGGAACCCAGCATTTATTGTCTGGAATTATTTCAATAGTTGCTTGATTTTACCCTTCTAGGCTGAATTCCTCTTATCAGTTCTTTTTGGAGAGCCCGAGACCCCTCTACGGAGCCACGTCTCTACCCCACTTGACATCCTCCAATAGTTCCCCATTTTGGTTTTGAAAAATTTCTTGCTCCTTAGCCTACCTTGGAAAGCCTTGAATATGCTGCATCTTTTTTACATCTGTAACTTTTGCATTTTGTATGTCGTATACTCCAGAAATATACAACACACCTTGCTTTTCCATGTTTCATGACTTGGCTAATTCCCTCTCTTCTTCTTAAAGGGCGAGTCTCACTTTACTTCCCCCAACTACTTCCTTGTAGCCTTCAAGACTCCACTGAGGTTTTGTCCTCTGAAAGCCCCCAGAATCTGGGACTGGGTGTCACTCCTCCGGGCCTCTTTATTACCTTATGTACTTCCTTGATGGCACTCAGTACATGGTAGGAATTCCAATTTTCTGTTTAAATTCATCAATTCTTTTCATTTAGGGTCCGTGTGTTTGTGTACTTTTTGTATAACTGGCATGTTCAAATTCCCAGGGCTGTGAATTATTCTTTCTTGAGAAAATGTGAACACTCCCAGATTGATCAGGTCCATTGGGTGAAGGATAAATCCTCAAGATATATTATAGGGGAATTGAAGATTATTAAAAACAAAGTAAAAACTCTGAAAGCTTCCAGAGATAAAGAGTAGATCACCTGTAAAGATTCAAGGATCAGATTGAAACTGATGTTCAGCAGCAAAGCTGCCCACCACAGGAAATAGGGTGATTTTCATCCAGTACTCGTCCAAATTCCACACTGATTTAAAAACCAAATAATTTTTCAAATGAAATTTTTGTGCTTTGTGTGTGTGACAACATAATTTATTTGCAAAATAAAACCAGATATAAGGTGACAGGAGGCTATGTATAATCTTTATTCACTCCACTCAAATGTGAACATTCATATGTTTTATTGCTAAAATATTAGTGTGTTTGATTTTAGAGTAATGATCCAGATCCCACTACGGTGTCCAATATTAGAATATTTAAAGTAGGCGTATTAAATAACCTTTCCAAATTGCCCCAATTCTAAATTTCAAAACATATGTAGCCCCAGGGCTATCAGAAAAGGTACTGTCTCCCTATCTTGAGGGTAAAATGATTTTAAGAGGTGAATTTTAATCGAGCCAAGATATTTAAATGTGAGGGCCTCAGAAACTATTCTCTGATATTCAAGCCCTTGGTAGTTTGTAAGACAAAGACCTATATGCAAACATCTATTGGAGGAAATATTCGATACTAAAAATAACATATAGAGCCAAGAAATACTGCAGGCCCAAAGGTAAGTAAGAGCAGGAACTGAGCTTGATGAGGTGTGCCTATGTCTTCCACATAGATACAGCTCTGACTAAAATGAGAGACAGGAAGCACATCAACATGGCGGAGGGAGGGAGGACAGTGAACAGGGCAGTTCACTAAAGTATTTGTCTTCAAGGGTAAGATAAAGAAATAAGCAAAAACAGAAGTACAAGAAAAGAGAATATAGAAATGTCATAAATGGAATTGAGGATAGCAGAAACAAAACCATACATGCTAATCATCAATATATACATAAATGGCCTAACCAGTTAACTGACAAATTTAGTCAAATTGCATTTATGGAAAAAAAACCCTGCATTTATGAAATCTGCCAATAGAGTGTTAAGAAAATATTACTTAAAGGTGGGAAAGTGAAAGAAAAATATTTTTTCGTGCAAAGAGTAACTAAAAGAAAACCAGTTATCTATACTAGTGTAGCTTTAAATAGACCTGAAGATAAAAGGTATCACCAGAGATTAACATAACAATAAAAAAATTTAAAGAAAAAAAAAAGTATCGCCAGAGTAGGACACAATGACAAAGGCTGACCTCCTAGGGAAACAAAACAGTTGTAATTATGTATTTGCCTGCTAATAGTAAATAATATATTATTGTTACTTTATATTCCTTTATAATGCTATACTACTACATATTATATTTTATAACATGATTTACATATTATAATATAAAAATTAAATTTGTAGTATTATGTAGCATATTTCTCTTCACACATGTTTCTCTTCACACATCCAAACACATTTTATATACATGTGTACATATATATTATATTATTGTATATATAAATTTAAGAGAACTACAGGACAAAAACCTCACAATTTTATGGTAGGAGATTTTAGCATATTTCTTAATTACTAAATAAACAAGGTAAAAAAATTCAGTAGAGATTTAGGAAATAGGACTAACATTATTAATAAACATAATTAACAAGTTTTATGTAACATACATAAAATTCTGAAATCAGCATTAAAAATCTTGCACTCTAATCAAGCACATATGGAATATTATTATACAGGCCATACAGAAAATCGCTCAACAATTCTGTAAGTCTATTTGTAACTGATTCTCCCTTCCTCTCCCCTATACTTTGCCACTAGAAAAAAAATCAGTAATTTTCAGGAAGGCAGACAGTAATGCTAAAAGGAACTGAAATAAAAGCTCTGGCGGTATAGTCTGAAGTATAATATAATAAACTGTCCCGGGGCGCCTGGGTGGCTCAGTCGTTAAGCGTCTGCTTTTGGCTCAGGTCATGATCCCGGGGTCCTGGGATTAAGCCCCACATCGGTCTCCCTGCTCAGCGGGAAGCCTGCTTCTCCCTCTCCCACTCCCCCTGCTTGTTTTCCCTCTTTTGCTGTCTCTTTCTGTCAAAAAAAATAAGTAAGAAAAAAATTAAACTGTCTTAAGAGAGGTAAAGAAGTCAAGTTTTTGTGTAACTGTGTCTGCGGAAGTGAAAGTTTTTCTGCTCTGTGCATGTATGTGTGTGAGTGTTTTCTAAAATCAGGATAAGACCATACAATGCAGCTTTAAACCCAGATGTATTTTTTACTTAATATTATGTTCTCATACTTTCCTCATGCCCCCAACTTGACTTCTGCCCAGAACTCTACCAAGGCCATCAAGAGTTTCATGGACACCACCTAGGGAAGAAAACCAAACCCTTTTTCTAAATATAACTCATGCCAATAGTCACCTGGGAAATAAATTTTAATGTCTTCTACAGTCAAAATGCATCTGCCTTCATTCAGGTGTCAGGTGTGGTGGGATAACCATGTCTGTTCCTTGTCTAGGTATTAAAGGATTAGAATCAAGCTACTAATGTTTTCATGTCTCCGACTATAGTTGATACCAGCATCCCCCATCCAATTCTTCATACCCGAAGCCCCCTCGTTGTTTTGTGTTTAGCCAGCAGGGGCCCACAGCTGTCTACAGAAAGCCCACAGGGCCTCACCTTGCTGAAAATCTCCACGAGTCCGGATCCTGAGGTCTTCTTCAGAAATGCAGGAATCACTGCTTATTTTGCTTGAGGAGGAAGATAAATCAACAAAGCTCTCAGAGACTGAACTGCAGGCTGTGATAATCTCCTGAAGGGCAGAGGAAAAAGAAGTATTTTGAAAGATAACAAACACAGATGGCACTGCTTAGAGTCACTGAAAACTTCACTGGTGGTGGTTTTCTGAAACCGCGCTGTGCCCTGGAGAGAGAAGTTGCAACACGATTTTGAGACACCTCCCTCCCATGCTCTTAGGTTTCGATTTCATTAGTCAGAGAAAATAAACAGTTTCCTTCCTGTAAGTACTTAATCAAAATGAAAGATTATAGCAAAAGTATAATTGAGTTTTTGTTACAAATGTCAGTAGATGGAAGGAGTTCCAACATTAGAACTCCAGCAGACTTACATGTGGGTCATTAGAAACCTATATTCCCGTAAATGACACTCAAATGTAAGAAAAATTAAGATGAGTCACCAGGCTGCTTATCCCTCATTTCCTGTTCTCAGAGTGGTAGGAGGAGATGTTGGAAGAGGCATCTCTTTCTACTAGTACTTGACTGTACCTCCAGAAAGAGGGTAGGTCGGCTATGAAATCACTCTTGTTTTAAATAGTGCCGGAAGCATTCACCCAGTTAATAACTGACACACCTGGAGCTTGACAGACGTAGGTCATTACGAATATGTGAATCCTTCCTCAAAGATATAGCAAGGAAGTTACCCTCTCAACTATGTCTAGGCTACTTTACCTCACTAATAAAATTAATGATCACTCACATTTTCTGCATTATTCATGGAGAAAACACGGGTGGGTAGTAAGCTCATATCATGGCAGCATAAGCTTTTGTAATTTCTGGAAGAACACTGAACCTCTGGACTGAGAGGGGCTTGATAAACCTCTTGTTCTGCGGTGTTTTTTCTGTGAAGGACAGTGGACGCATTCCAGAGTACCATAAACCATGACATGTCAAATAAATGGCATCAATCAGCTGACATGATGGTTGAAACCCACCAGCTGATCTGCAAGTAGGATGAAGCCAGGGCTGGAAATGGACCCCAAAGGATAGCTGGTGTTGGTGAATGATCCGAGGTCATCTAAAGAGAAGAAAGCTGATTATTTTAATCCAGACTATAGTAGTGGAGTGGCTAGCTGAAGTCTAGATGTGGGAGCATCTGAAAGCATGAGTAAAGTCATGGGAAGGTGAGAGGGATCTGGCGGGATCTCCACAAATACCTGTGGGTGCTCCCTCCTTCCTTTCAAGGCTATAGGTTTTTATGATGCAAGGAGCTGGTCTTAAGGTAATGGGTGGAGAGGGACATTAGGGAGGTCAGAGAGGACCCCATCCCAGAGATCAGAGGATCGAGGACACATGGGGGGAATGACCATATCAGGATATTTTCCTGCTCCTTTTCTTGTCATCAGTTCATGTGGAATAACGTCCTTGTGACTCCAGCACGCAACACGCAGATAACTGTCATCAATAAGGACAATTCAGAGCAATGTTCCATAATTCATTCAGTACAGTACAGTTGTAATTATAATAGATGAAACAACAGAATGTTAAAAAAAATGTGCATTTTCCTGACTTACAGGCAGTAGCCAAACAATTGGTGATTTATGCTGTCATGCAAAAAGCTCACTAGTAGAACATACAAGAACTCTTGATACAGAGAAAAATGGATACACTTACATGACTCTTTATTATCTGAAGTATTAATTCACATAGTCAAAATCCTCAGGAAAAGTCCCCACTGGATTAATGTCCTGTGGGCCAAAGCTAATACACTCTCTGTTTTTGTGAATAAAGTTTTATTGGAACACAGGGGCGCCTGGGTGGCTCAGTCGGTTAAGCGGCTGCCTTCGGCTCAGGTCATGATCTCAGGGTCCTGGGATCGAGCCCCGCATTGGGCTCCCTGCTTGGCAGAGAGCCTGCTTCTCCCTCTCCCTCTGTCTGCCACTCTGCCTACTTGTGCTCTCTCTGTATGTCTGTTAAATAAAAATCTTAAAAAAAAAAAAAAGGAACACAGATATGCTCATTTACTTATGCATTGTCTATGTCTGTCTTCATGATGCAACTGTGGAGCTGACTAGCCACAGAGCCTAAAGTTTCACTATATGGCTCTTTATAGAAAAAATTTTTGTCAACTTGCTCCCTAAGCCATCAGTCTAGGACATAGCAGAAGGAATCTAAGGAGAAAAGCAGAAGTAAGTAAAAGAAAATCACATCAGGAAACCATGATCAGGCCTTCTCAAATCCACACTGGGCCCATGGGGAACAGCTTAGTGATAAAGTTTGTGTCTCAGAGAAAGAAGCAGAAAGGGAGGGTATAGGCTGAACTGTGTTACCCCAAATTCATATGTTGAAGCCCCAGCCCCCACTGTGACTGTATTTCATTGGAGATCAGGCCCTTAAGGAGGTAAGTTAAGATTTTGTCATAAGGGAGGGGCACTAATCCATTGTGACTGGTGCTTTTCTTTTTTTTTTTTTTTTTTAAGATTTTATTTATTTATTTGAGAGAGAGAATGAGAGAGAGAGAGAGAGAGCACATGAAAGGGGGGAGGGTCAGAGGGAGAAGCAGACTCCCCGCTGAGCAGGGAGCCCGATGTGGGACTCGATCCCGGGACTCCAGGATCACGACCTGAGCCGAAGGCAGTCGCTTAACCAACTGAGCCACCCAGGCGCCCGTGACTGGTGCTTTTCTAAAAAGAGGAGATTTTAACATACCCAGAGACCAGGGTGTGCACACACAGATGAAGACCATGAGAGGGCACAATGAGAAGGTGGCCACCAGCAAGCTGGAAGACAGGCCTCAGTGATAAGGAAAATCTGTGTCCTAAGATGGCCGACCGAGCCAGCGAGAGAGTGCCAGTCCTTGCCCCGGGGCTCTTCCGGGTTCTTCCCCTCCCCTGCTTCCTGCACACACCACTCTGGGTTCTTCTCCTTGCCCTGCCACAAGTGCCAAGTATGCGGAAGTAGAAGTGTAGAAATTGCTCCCTTTATTTGTGCTCGGGGCTCAGACCTTTGCAGACCTCTCTCCTCTGAGCCCACCGGTGTTCAATAAACCTCCTATCCTCCAAGATCGCCGGGTGCTGCTTCCGTCAGGCAATCCAGTCCAGGTCCTGTAACATTTGGTTCCCTGACTGGGAAACCCAACAACGCTGGTCCATTGTTGCCCCCGGTTTGGGGGCAACGGCGGGGCGGTGACTGAATGAGGGATTGAAATGGAGAAGGCGCACCCTGCCTGATTTTCGGCAGTCTCCCGCCCCGGTCACCTCAGGCCAACCCCGCTCCACTCTTCCCACCGGACTTGAGGAGACTTGGCAGGTAAGGACCAGGTCCCAACATTGGATTCCGGTAAGGCCATGGGCCCCAGGACCCAGACAGGCCCACCCCCATTGGGGTGGAAGGGGAGGCTGATCACCTCCCAGAGACCTCTTAGAACTCTCACAGATAGGGATTCCCAGGGAGGGAATGTAATAACTTCTGGAGTGTGAATGTGTGAGTGAATGTGCAGTCTGACCTGGCTTGCTCAAGCAGACTGATTCTGTGACTCCACAGGTGGGCACCCTTAAGGTCCCCAGAAGCCTACAGAGTCTATGTGGGCCCATCTGCGATTCCATGGTGAAAGGCATACAGTCTATGGTGGCATCTGAATAGTTTCCGATCATAAGTCACAACAATGAGACCCCTACAACTAAGCCTCACCTAAGCTCTTTTGGGACATGGCCAGACGGGCATCTGATTGGTCTCCTCACCTCAGGAGGCACCCCCCCTTTGTCTGTCTCTGCCACCGCACATGGGGACATCACCATGGGGTCAGGGCAGAGTAAACCTATGGTTCTAGAGACCATGATCAAAAATTTCAAGAAGGAGTTTTTGGGAGACTATGGAGTCAGGATGAACCCCAGCAAGTTGAGAACCCTATGTGAATTGGAAAGGCCCGCCTTTGATGTTGGGTGGCCTTCAGAGGGGACATGGGATGCCCCAATGATTCATCGAGTATGGCGAGTTGTAAAGGCAGAACCAGGACACCCTGACCAGTTTCCATACATTGACTCCTGGCTAGGAGTTGTTCAGACCCTTCCCCACTGGGTGCAATTCACTTGAATCTTAATCACCTCATCCAAGCAACCTAAAGAAAATCAGCAAAAGCCCCAGTATCCACAAATCCTAGCCAGATATCCCAAGGATGAACTGACCCTGCCCCCACCGTACGTACCCCCAAGACCATCTACACCTGGCCCTTCAGCTCCAGACACTCTGCCACCATCGGTTTCACTGGTGTCCCCAGGCCCAGAAGATCCACTGGTGCCCTCAGGGCCAGAGGATCCAGAGCACCCCCAGGCCCCAAAGATCCACTATCTCCAGGACCAGCAACCAGGCTGTGCCCCAGGCTGGGTGCAAGCGCCCCCCAAATGCCAGTATGAGAGACACAGGAACCCAAGAGTCACGATGAAGATGGGACGGTCCAACCCGGCTGTTCCATGATGTATTATCAGCCCTTCTCCACCACCGACCTCCTCAACTGGAAACATAACACCCCATCCTACTCTGAGAAACCACAGGTTATGGTAGACCTCATAGAATCCCTCTTCCAGACTCATCGGCCAACCTGGGAAGACTGCCAACAGTTACTCCACACCCTGTTTAACACAGAGGAAAGGAGGAGAATAATGAAAGGTGCACAGCAGTACCTGGAAGAGCACGCACCAGTGGGAGTCATCGACCCTGCTGCCTGGGCTAATATGGCCACACCTGAAGAGCGCCCAGCATGGGACTTCACCACAACTGAGGGACAGGCCCACATCTGCTGGTACCAGGAGGCCCTCCTCCGGGGAATCTGGGCAGGAGCTAAGAAACCCATGAACATGACTAAGGTATCCTCGGTCACTCAACAACCAGGGGAGTCCCCCGGGGACTACTATGAAAGGCTATGTGAAACCTACAGGATATATGCTCCATTTAACTCTGAGGCACAGAGTCAATGTTGGAAAGCCAACAGATGGTAAACACCTCCTTCATGGCTTAGGCCACCCCAGACATCAGAAAAAAACTTCAGAAACTAGAGGGTTTTGTCAGGATGAATATCACCCAACAAATAGAGATTGCCAATAATGTCTACATGAACAGGGAGGTCACAGCCAAATGGGAAGCTGACAAAAAGATGAAAAAGAAAGTCAGCTTCCTCACTGCCACCCTGAAAGAAAAGGACAACACAAAGATGGGGAGACCCCAACTATAAAGTGGGGAAGCCCAGAACCCCCTTGGCAAGGGATCAATGTGCCTACTGTAAAGAGAAAGGGCATTGGAAAAATGAATGTCCCAACTGGGAAAAGGCTCAAAAGCTCAACCGCTACAAGGAAGAACCCCGAGAGGAGGACCTCATAAGCCTTGTGGGAATGGACTCAGACTGAGGGGGACTGGGCTCTTTCCTCCTTGGCTCCCATG